GAGGGCGGGACCTGGAAAAAAATTTCATTGGACCGAACCATCCACAGAAGACGGAGGATAGGAAGGGCACGTCAGCGGCGTCGCTTCTTGGCTCCGCCCATCCGGTTGTGGCGGGCAGTGTCATAAACTCTGGTTTACCACATTTCTAGAGTAAAATGTGATTCCTTCGAGTATAAGGCATGTAGTGGTTGCTAGTGGTTGCATTCTCGTTGTATTAGTATCCCAATCCACTCTGCAGACCAGAATGACGAACGTTGTCAAGCCCCAGTAGCCTCTTAAGGTCTTTCAGGGGGAGGGGGGTCTTACAGCAAATATTTTCGTGGTGGTTCGTGGTGGTGGTTTAGCGCGCAATGATTTACGCTTGCGAAGCGTCACCACGTTTTCCGAATCTCAATCCTTTTATAGAAAGAGTCCTTAATCGAAAAAGGAAAACATGGGAAAGGCTGCTTTGAGAGGAAATGGCGAGTACAAGCTGTAAAGTACCTGCTTCTCGGCCTTCTTCCCATTTCCGCTCAATTCTCAATGATTGGCAGCCTGCTATACTCGTAGCAAGTGATCTGCTAGAGCCCTACCTCTTTATACCTATAATTTCGTTTGCGACTACGGTTCATCCATAAGTGACTAACACGTAGTTCGCGTGCCCCAGCCCAAAAAGCCGAATTTTTTACGATCCCAAAGTCATTTATGAATCCGTTAGATGTTTGTTTTCATATCGGGGTTTCATCACATTGAATGTTTTAGAGTTTTTCTCTATTATCAATGCTGATTTGAAATCTTCCCTACTGAAGTGCGATTGTATTTTTTATTTGAAGAGTTTAACCGGGTAATGTTTCAAGTATTTCATGAAATTCCATATAGCATGCACAATATGCATTGTATACGGTACTGTCTGTGATAATATCTTGTTAGAACTCAATAAATTTGTTATTATCTACTGCATCACGAGTTTGTGTAAGGTGGATATGTATCAAGACAATCGTAATATGCCGCGCTGGTAGGCGTGGCGAGCGACGAGTTGTCCTGCTCAACTGTTCGAATTTATCCGTTCGAACGGAAGAGGAAGATCGATGTCTTTCGCCACGGCACGGAGTCTTGCATTCGATTGAATTCATGGGTTGGTCCAGTCGAAAAGCTAATGCTCATTGAGAATTTCCCGCGCATCGCCGCACAATGTGTCGTGCGCGGCTGCGCGGTGAATTATGAATTTATTGTCTCGTTCGCCTCTCGTGGAAGGTATATCGTAAAGTGGCAGGTGTTCTGTCCTCTGGGGTGTGCCCGGACCCAACTTCCTGAAGCATTTGATTGCTTAAAAACTCACTGATTACCTGGAAAATTTCAGTTTCGTTTCAGTGTGCATCTGGGCAGGCTCACGGCCGTAAAAGGGGCGCGACAGTGAAAGAAAAGAGTTGTGATAGTTTGTTGTTTCTTATTTCTCATCCATTCGTCCAAAATGTGATACGGCACACGCCTAACTATAGAGAGACGGCTGACCGTGTGGCGTGGCTATGGCGTGTGCAGCGCGTGTTGAGAGCGCACATGGAACGAGGGCACTAACCATAAATAGTTATCCCGCTCCGCCAACATATCCCGGATGACGCATTCTTCTCCGCACTCGCGCGTGCGCTCGTTCAGCCGCCCTATCGTTTGCTGGGATGACGGCTGCACAGCCTGTAAACTTTGAGATCCTCCATTCACATCTCTATGTTTCGTACATTAACACAATTTGACTGTGGTATGAAGTCAGAAGGCACATACGATCATTTTAGAATAATATCATACCGTAGAAACTTTCTGAGACCACGTTCAGAGTCATCGAGAAAGTCTCGAAGGGTCCCATTTGGTAGTTGGGAGGGGTGGCTCGTATTAGACGTGACGAAATTTTTGACTGTTACTCTAAAAGTTTGGAACTTTACTGATTCTGATATTTGACCGGAGATGTCCAAATTCCTTTTCCCTCACTGGGCACACAGTGGGGGAGGTAGTATTGTTGAGGGAAACGAAGGGGACGTGGCAACGCGGGACTTATAGTGTAGTTCGCTGCGGACGGTTGGGCGTGTCCGTGCGGCTGCGTTTGGCGCGGTGCCAAACTCGTTCTACACCAGTTGTTGAAGCGGGCAAGTGACAATACTGTATCATATCCTTCGTATTACTAGTCTTCTACCACTTTTTGTCGCAGACGCTCTTCAACAAGAAGGCAGAGAACGGCTTTGATAGGGTGACACACTCATACTGGCTGACACGCCCAACCGTCCGCAGAGAACTATAGTGTACCATCTCGGGTGTGTAGGATCCTGGTGCGGGTGTCGTGCTCGCTTGCATCGGCTATTTCGCGTCGACTGGAAACTAGGGTTCCGTCTTCGCATCGAATTTGCGGGAATGAAAATATTGCGAAAAGGATCGGATGCAGATCCATTGACTCCACCCAGCTCGAAGGACGGGGGACGCGCGCCAAGTATTTGACCCGGGTCGTCTTTGCAGTCCGAGGAATCGGGATTCGACATCGTAGAACTGATCGTTATCGGGTTCAGAATTTTGCGACCTAGATCCCTGTTTTATTTGCAGGGTCTTCTGATTGTTGAACAACTCAAAGGTTAAGCGCACTCAGATGAGATAGATCCTGTCCATAGGATGTGCAGCCGTACTCGGCGTGGCGTCAATTCGAAGAGTATGCGAAAATGATGAGATATACCCTAGTTCGCAGCGGATGAAGGGGCGTGGCAGGCGCAGCAGAGTGTCCCACGGCGCTAAACCCGTTCCCTGGCAGTTGCTGAAGCGGGTGTGCGACAACAAATGGTAGAAAACGAGTGATACGAACGACATGATACAGTTTGTCACTTGCTCGCTCCAAGTACTAGCGGACAACGGATCTGGCGCCGCGCCAAACTTCGTCTCGCCTGGCACGCCCCTTCGTCCGCAGTCATCCAAACTAGATATATCGATTACTTTATCAAAATAACAGAATTCTCGCTCCCTTTTCTTCTGATGATTCGAACGGCAGGAGGCGCGAGCTGTCACTTCCTCCGCTTTTAATCAATACATGTCTAGTCCCCTTTGCGCAAACTGCACACCTGCAACTGTTCTATAGACATTAATTCTCTGATGCTGCGTTCATGCTTTTCGTCGGTGTTTTGAGCGTTGCGCTCGGTACGCTAGATTCGAAACAATGTTTCCCCTTCGCCCAAAATACTCATAACGGTCGGAGCGCTTGAACGCTCAAAACTTCGACGAAAAGTATAAACGCACTCCAAAACAGACACTCCAACGCGGACTTATCGAACAAATTTCCCCTTCTGTTTCTTTTTTCAATTTTCTTTCAAAGCCTGCTTCCGTGCTCCTGTTTCTGTAGTCAACAATCAGCAGATGAGATTAGATATCTATGGATCCTGCCTGTGTGGAAGTGTGCTGTGCGATATTTCATCCATACCTTTCGTAAAGTTTTACCCATTCATTCTACCCGCCGGTTTCTTCCTCTTATCAACAGCCTAAAAGTCGCATATCATCATTTTGGGATACGGAAAAGTTGAGAAATAACATCAATTTTTTCATTCTTACAAAGTATGAATGTAACTAACCAATCAACTTAGGCGTTGTTCACAGTCTGCGACCCTGTCGAAACGGCGGTTGGGCGAAAAGCCATAAATGCGTATCGATTTCGCTGGCGAAAAACGCCAGGGCGATTTGAACTAGCGTTTCGTCGAAGGGAAAAACTCGCGGTAGGCGAAACGCCTGCCAATTTCGTAAACAAAACCCTTTGCACATCCGCTGGCCGTTTCCAGAGAAACGCTGGCTGAAGACTGTGAACAATGCCTTACAGCTAAATTTTTTGCGCATCCTCCAGATCCTTCGGCCTACTTTCCAGTCACTTCCCTTAATGCCAGTTCTTGGAAAGATCGATATACACTCTTCAGAAAAGACGACGTTTTATAGGTGAATATGACCCGTCGTCCCTGGAACGCCTATCTTGTTGTGCTTGGCTTGATAACCGCGACATATTTACTGATTTCATTCAGGTATGCTGTGAGGTCATCCTTTCTGTCAGTTGTCATATATTCTTTTCGTTTCCTTAATCATTTGAATTACTTTGGATGAATGCAATGTTGAAAAGGTTTCTGTCAGAATATAATCCTTTTTCTACATAGCGTGAAACTGATCCTGCGATTTTCGCATGATATAACAGAATTTAGAGTTCTGTCTGTTGATCCTACCCTTTTGACAAGAAGGTTTCATGATCCTGGAATGAACATTCGGTGTGCTTGAATTATTAGTGTTCCAGGCATGCCTCTGTGGCCCTCTGACCTGGTTGTGGATACAACTGGCCAATCTCACTTCAGCCTGCACGTGGCCGTCTTCCTCAACATTTGGGGTCTGCAATAGTCAAGGCTAAACATATTAAATGAGCAAGTCTTGCTTGAACAACATTCAGTTGCTCAACGCAAAACGGAGCAACCGTAATCAATAAGTGTAGATACGACCCAATCGGCCCAGCCCCCCTATAGAAACAGTGGAAAGGTTGTCGTCGAGAACAATCTATCTAGTCAAGTCTCCTATCCTGTCCTCTAGTCTCTTGGCAATGCACGGCTGCGAATAAAAGCTTTAAGCTTAACGCTTTTAATCGGGCAGATGGGCGAGTACTTTTTGTCCTCAGTTTTCAGGCCTGCATAGCCTTGTAAACTATCAGACGTCGCTTATACTCTCAATAGCGTTGAGAGAATCGGCGACCAAAAGAATGTGATAGCAGTCGAATTGGCGGCCAATCTGGCGGATTTGCGCATACTCCAATATACTTAAGTAAGTTCCTGGCGGAACAGTCCGCTCCATCCTAAAGCATGGAGGTGGCTGGGAATCTGCCCTGTCCAACGTTGGAAATGAGGTCTAAGAGGACAGCCATTGTCAGCCACTGGCGACCGCGTGGAGGATCACTCTAGGCAGTGTTCAGACTTGTCGCGCTTCAATCGTCGCTGTCGCTTGTAATAGTACACACTACATTACAAGCGCGCTCCAATGACCAGACCCCAGCTTCCCTTTATGTTCTTTCTTCCGGTATTCAACCCCTTTTTCACTGTTTCTCATTTCTACCTGATTCTTAGCTCCTCTTTTTCACTTTGACATTGAATTTTAATGTAGTTTTTGATACAGGACACTGTGATAATGATTTTGTATACCGTTTCAGAAAAACTCGTCGTAAAAACTTTCAAAAAATCAGAAAACTCAAGACGTCCAAAAACGTCAAAAACTACATTAAAATTCAATGTAAAAGTGAAAAAGAGGAGCTAAGAATCAGGTAGAAATGAGAAACTGGAAGAAAGAACATAAAGGGAAGCTGGGGTCTGGACACAATTCGAGCGCGCTTGTAACTGTAGCGTATTCACTTACAAGCGACAGCGACAATTGAAGCGCGACAAGTCTGAACGCTGCCTGAGGAGTCTGCCTGAGCGTTTTGAGCGTGGTATTATTTTCTTTATTGTGACTCGCAGTTAGCATGCTCTTCTCTTGAATTGTAGCACACTCTTGTGTATAAGTATGAATGTTGAGCACTTGTAGACTGCCTGTCGAAGAATCTCAGATATCCACAGCTCACGAAAAAGTCAACGAAAAATCTCCTTTCATATTCATAGGTATTGTTCTATTTATTGATTTTCGCTGAAGTGCAAAACTAGATCGATTGGTTCAAGGTGGTGTACCTCGATCAGGGACAACACTGCTACGAGCGATGCTTGGTGCACATCCAGATGTGCATTGCGGTGAGGAAACCAAAGTTATACCGGAACTTCTCAATGGTGTGTCAGATATGAAAGCGAACGAAAAGGTCTCCAGCTGTTTGAAATTAGGCTTTTTTAATTGGAATGGTGTGAAATCATTTCTGCTTACTGAATAATTGAGTGTCACGAAGCCATTCTTTTTTCAGTACTCACGTCCATGAAGCACGCTTCGCAATCGCACGCATAATCTGATTCTCAATTCTGTAGCCCTCAAAGGTCACATATTCAGGAATGGACTCGTTTGCAGTATGCGGGTGTCACCGATGAGGTGATCAGTAAGGCTGTCGCCTCGTTCATCATTGAGGTAGTTTTATGTTGTACCACACATACATACACTCCAGTTCGCTGCGGACGGTTGGGCGTGTCAGGCAGTATGAGTGTGTCACCCGTCAAAGCCGTTCTCTGCCTTCTTGTTGAAGCGCGCATGCGACAAAAAGTGGTAGAAAACGAGTAATACGAACGATATGATACAGTCATATCATTTGCTCGCTTTAACAACTGGTGGAGAACGGGTTTGGCACCGCGCCAAACTCATCCCGCCTGACACGCCCAACCGTCCGCAGCGAACTACACTATACTTCACGGGAAATTAGTGGATCATACGTAATTAACTGAAGGAAGCTGTCGGCGCTGTTCGGCTTGGGAGGGACATTTTGCGCTTTCGTTTGTTTTGCTTGTCAGTTCATGGTAAATTGCCCGGGCGATGCTGCTGCAGCGTACCTTTTGTTGGGTCCTCTATAAATTTGTGAAATGGGTGAAGTGAGCCACTGTGATTGCAGAAATTTTCAGGACAAGATGGTCTGCTAGTTCCAGTAGGTATTATTCGGTGCCCACACCAAGCCGAACTGCACCCAGCCGTCTTTAAGCTTTACGTATTCTATTATAGCTCTGAGCCTTCCTGAGAACTGACATAGTATAATTCATCATTTTTTTTGACAGATAGATCTTGCACGGATACACTATTGGCTAAGAGGTAAGATCCTTTCCGTGTGATGTGAGCAGGTCAGAAGTGTAGCACCCCTTGCGGATATGTGAGCGCGCCGCGTCGCGCGCGACAGTTGCAATACCGTATGGTGCTCGCGGACCTGCGCTCGCGATGGTTTTATTATCGCATTTCATTTCGTTGGACTTTTCATTTTGTATCTAATTTTGTTTCTATTTTTCAACAGGACAGTGAGTTTATCGCGAACGTGCGCTTCATTGCAAGCACGCGGTGTTTGCGGATTGCCGCGTACGTGACGTCGCGTGGTCCTGAAGACCGTCTCCGCTTTTCTGTCACTACAGTCTGCAGTAGTGGAACTAAAATCCTTGGTATTCTCAGTTTTCTGCTTGCCTTTCGATACGCAACACGCGACACGGCCATCGTTCATCGTTGCCAGCGTCTTGTGTTACAGTTCAGGCATTCAGTGCGTAATTGCGCGTTTCACCCTTCTCAGGTATCGTATGGCGAAGCGCAGGCATAGCGCAAGCAGAGACTCAAGGATATCTCAAGCTTTTCCCACACGGTGACGCTTGTGCTATGCTTACGAATGCTGCACACACTCACATGGATTAGCTTCTTTCCTAGCTTATCTCCACTTCTCCATCACCTCGCTCATACTCTTTGACTATTCCATCCACTAACACTAACAAAAACTGCTAGCCTGTGGAAAATTACGGAATATTGTAACTGAATTAAGCTTGAACCATCCTATCAAGTATTTCCAATTGAGGTCCACTGAGCAATCTTTTCAGGTTATAAGCAGTCATGACGTTCCAGCTCCCCGTTTGTGTGATAAGGACCCTTTCATTATGAGTGCTGCAACGTTGCTAACCAGGATTTTCCCAAATGCTCGACTTCTTTTCGTTATTCGAGATGGCAGAGCTACTGTGCACAGTATGATTTCCAGAAAGGTTCTTTTTCAGTATACTTCTTTATTACTGAAATAGCAGTGATCAAAAATTTATGGTTCATTACTCTCGAGGCGTTAATGCAGTATAGATAGGCAGTGCAGTACGTCTTAGATGCAATCGCAGTTTGTAGCTGCAGTGATTATACGGACATTAGTAGGACGGTAACAATCCACCGATTGGCAGTAAAGTGCCCTTCCTCCCGTCGTTTTCACGCCGCCCAACCGCTAAGAGAGTGATCGAGCACGATCCGAGCAATCGAATGTATGACGCAAAGTATGAACGCAGTCTAACTGACGTTTCATCTGACAGCACCTTGAAATAACAGGTGTAAGTGTGTTGTATGTGCGTCATGACAGGAGTTCCTTGAGTTCTCATGACCATTGCTGCCACGAACTGCGTTAGCACCTTGTTGCAGGTAGGATCAAGTGTCCGAGACGTTATGACAGCGGTGCAAGATAAGTTTCCATGGTTTCCAACAACGTTTGTTTACTACCGTGTTAGATGACTCGTAGCATCCTAAATTTTAACAAGTAGCGAACCTTGCTACATCTGAACTTTACTTGAATCAGCTGGTTTGTAGGTGAAAATTCGCAGTTTCAATATAACTGACTACCGTGAATGTCTGAAAAAATGGAACGAGGTCATATCAAAAATGGATGACGAGTGTACCAAGATCAGAAATAAGTGTCTTCGGGTAAGTGCTACAGCTTTATAATTTGAAGTAATCATTTATTTTTGGTTCTTGTGTGATGTCGCTCTGCTGAGGGGCGAAAGAATTGGTTCTTTCGGCAAACAAAAGTTTATCCGTATCGTGCTAGTAATTGAAGACTGAGGTCGCACCCATCCCAGACCACTTTTTGCATTACATACAGGCAGGAGGCAACCCTCTTCCTGTAAGCTGTCAACTTTGCCTTGTGCATTTCATTACATGTCATGAGAGCGGGCTATTTAAAGACTATGAGTAAGATTTCTATATCAGAATAGGGAATTCTCGACTTAAGAGGGAGTTAAATTTGGTCCACTGCATGTTTGGTCCTTATAATGTAACTGAGTGTACGGCGCTTTTTCTCACATTGAAATTCTCTGGGTAAGGTAACAAGTTTTCCAGTGCCTCCTAGAATGGTGAAGAATGGTGGGCTATATACGAAACATTAATATTTTTGTGATGGTTTGACTTTTGTATATTTCTAGCTCATAGAGGTGTCAGATCCTCAAGGATGGATATCTTTGACACCTTCTTCATTATTCGTTTGACCGATATGCGAAAATCGCTTTTGTGGTTTGTTTTCAAGTGAACGTTATGGTCCCATCACTGATCCTTGCCTTCATGCTGTGGGAGTGGTTCAGAAATTTGCTGTATGGCTACCCATGCAGTAGCTCCCTATTGTACCTGTGGGGCTTCCTGTGCGATACATATTTTCGAGCTTGATAAAGCAATCCCCCACAAATCCTATCCGCAGCTCAACGTGGCGTGGGGGTGAACGGTTGGACTGTTCCAACACCGAGCCTGGCGAGCTACGCGTGGTTAAATTTCTTCTCGCCGAAAACAGTAATAATTATGGGCCTCATTCCCCTGAACCTGAGGGAACCACCGACAGGGCGACGTGCTGAGACTGCTTGGGGCGAAAGGCTGCCAAGAGGCAGGGCGAGTCACAGGGCCAACGGAGATTTAAGTCGCCCAGGACTAGGATGACGATCTGTACTTTCAACGCACGGACGCTTGCATCGGAAGCTCACATCGAAGATCTGATGTTGCAAGCCAGGAAGATCAAGTACGACGTCATCGGACTGACCGAGACGAGGAGGCATCGCCCGCTACACGCCGTATACGAGACTGGAGAAGAACTGTTCCTCGGAACATGCGACAGCAGAGGCGTTGGCGGTGTGGGCGTCCTCGTCAACACGCACTTGGCCATGAACATCGATTCGTACGAAAATCTGACGACCCGAATCGGACGTTTGCGATTGAGAAGATGTGGTTCAACTCCAGCTTTGACAATCTTCGTCGCCTACGCACCAACATCAAGCTACGACGAGGATGAGCTCGAAGCGTTCTATATGGAATTGGAGAAGTTCTACAAGGAAGATCATACCTTCTTCAAGGTCATCGTCGGTGATTTCAACGCTAAGATCGGACCAAGAAGAACGGCTGAAGAACTTCACATCGGAACTCACGGAACGGAGTGGAATGAGCAGGGTGAAAGGCTGTCTGAGTTTATCATGTCGACCCACACCATCCATGGTAACTCGCAGTTCCAGAAGCCCTACTCTCTACGCTGGACATGGGAGTCTCCTGGTGGACAATTCTCCATGAAAGAGATCGGACCACATCATCTTCAATGGAAGCTTTTGCCTGACGATACGCTGGTTTGTTCCTAAATTCTACACGGGATCCGACCACCGTCTCCTTCGCGCAAGATTCCGCTTCACGATGCGAGGAGAAAGAGCCGCAAAGTTTAAGAAGCGAAGCCCGAATGGCTGTCGATCGACTGGGGAATCATTCACTTCTCTCGCTGAGCTTCTGGGAGGATTCCGTCATCGACAACATCGACGAGGAATACGAACGGCTTGTCGCACATCTTCACGACTGCGCCAAGAAGTCAGAGATTCCAAGATTACCAAGAAGCGTCTATCTCTGGAAACTCTCGAGCTGATTCGCCAACGTGGAGCCGCACGAGCCGCAGGCAATTACCAGCTGACGTCGTGCTGAGCTTTGGCCGAAGCTATGCAGAGAAGCGATAAAGGAAGACCTCAAGGAGAGAAGAGCAGCAGTACTGGTGGAAGCCGCAGAGGCTGGGAAGAGCATACGCAACGGGGGTGGGCCCCCGGGGGGGGCCCGGCGACTTCGCCAATTGATAGACCGAAATTCGCCCTCGACAATGTCGATGGAACAATCACCGCATCCAGAAGGGCAATGGAGAAGGTCATCCACGACTTCTACTCGGATCTCTTTGACAGCCACGTCCACCTGCAACCATACCGCTTGGAGCAGGATGGATATGTCGTTCCTGCAGTTCTCCCTTCCGAAGTCCGACACGCCATCTCGTCGGTGAAAGAAGCACCCGGCACCCGTCCGGGACAGGATTAGACCCGAACATCTGAAGAATCTTCCGCCAGTTCTTGTCAAAACTCTGGCTCGACTCTTCACGCGCTACCTGTCGGAATGCAAGGTACCCACCTCGTGGAAAACCAGCAAGACTGTGTTGCTGTACAAGAAGGGAGATCTGTACGACATTGGCAATTATCGCCCAATCTGCCTGCTGTCTGTAGTCTACAAACTTTCACACGAGTCATCCCGAAGGATTGGAAGAACACTAGACGAAGGACAGCCATGCGAGCAAGCAGGGTTTCGAAGAGGATTCAGCACGATCGATCACATCCACACGGTAACGAAGCTCATCGAAGTATCGCGAGAGTACAAGGCCGCTATGTCTCACGTTCATCGACTTGAAGAAAGCCTTCGACTCCGTTGAGACAGAAGCGGTTATCGAAGCCCTGGGCAACCAGGGTATTCCTACTCAGTACATCAGGATTCTTCGTGAGCTCTACAGCAACTTCACGACCAGATTTCTCACCATTCTACAAGGAGATCATCAATTGATGACGTGAAAGAGCGGGCGCCGGGCGACAGCCCATCCAAGCTCTCAAGCACCTTCTTTCGGAAAAGGTCATGCGTCAACTGGAATGGGAAGACATGGGAGTGAATCGACGGTCGGCAACTACACCATCTCCGCTTTGCTGACGACATCGTTTTGATAACACCAAACATCGAGCAAGCGGAACGAATGCTGGCTGATTTCGACTGCGCGTGTGGAAAAATCGGTCTACGGCTGAATCTAACGAAGACGATGTTCATGAGAAACGGATTGGTTTCTGATGCCCCACGCTCAACGAAACGACCATCTCTGAATGCTCTAGATATGGTAACTAGGTCGTGAAATCAACTATGCCAATGAATGATTGAGCTCACAGAAGCGCTTGCTACAGGAGGAAGCGAGCGCTTGGGGAGCCTTCAAGAACATCGAGGGAGTAGCGAAGAAGACGAAGAACACCAAGCTCCGTGCCCACCTCTTCGATTCCGCGGTCCTTCCTGCCTTGACGTACGCCTCAGAGACTTGGACTCTACGAAAGCAGGATGAGCATGCGGTCGGCGTTATTCAACGCGCCATCGAAAGGGACCCGGAGTTCCGCTACACGCAAGTGAGAGAGGGAATCCGGAGCTCCGCACTCCGCCAACGATCGAAGATCAGAGACGCCGCCGCTTTTGCCAAGGTTTCGAAGATCAGGTGGGCCGGGCACGTCATGCGTTTCGAGGACGACCGCTGGACCAGAGCGATCACCGACTGGATTCCACGGGATGTCAAGCGAACGCCTGGACGACCGCCTATGCGATGGTCAGACTTCTTCAGATTTCTCTGTGAAGCTGTGAACGAATGTGCTGTGACATCGTGATCCTCGAGCAGGAGATTCATTGGCAACCGCTGCACGTTAGCAGGACGAACGGTACGGCGCCCAGATCGAGGAACGCGGCATGATCAATGGAGCAGAAGGCTGATACAGGTGATAAGCCACTTCTTGTATGATCCACGTTTAGTCCTCCTCTAAGGTCACACTTTGCATATTTCTCAAAGGCTTTGAGCATTACGCTTCTTATGGCTCAACTCAATCAAGAGACGCGTTTCACACTTGGGCAAGTCAGCAGAACTAAAGAATGCGCACCAATAGTAGAGTAGTTGGAAACTGATCGATCTCAGTTGCTAGTCAGTGTATAGAATAGGAGAATTAGCAAATCGTAAGGATATGCGTAGAAAATCAGTACTCCTGCCTGCAGTACAGTGGACCGCGTCCGAACACTATAAGTTTATTCATTTGCAGAAGTTCAGGTGTATTACGAACAGCTCGTGTTACATCCCGAGCCAGAAATGCGTCGTATTCTGGACTTCTTAGAACTTCCATGGAACACAAGAGTGTTGAATCATGAAGATTACGTAGAGGAAGATGTCAGATTGTCAAGAATGGAGCGAAGCTCGGATCAGGTGAGAAATTCAAGCCAAAACTGTTTTGACTTCTGAAGTGTCGTCTCGTTTATAGGGCGTCTTTTTCAGCTCAGTTGAATTTATTTACTTTTTTCTACAAATACATTTTAACATTTACTAGAACTGGGACGCTCTCTTTTTCAAGGAGTCATTGTATGAAATTCTGAACCTTCTTCTAAATTTACTAAATAATATCATTCTCATTTGCACGCCGTTACTGTCTCTTTTATTTTTCATTAAATGCTGGAAGGTTCGAAGAAACGATAAGCTAGGCGAATGGGGTTTTACCTTAACGCAGAAAGGAGCCGCTGGCGAGCGAATCTTGGGTCGAACAAAGGACAACGGTGCGGTGGGTGAACCTGAGTGGCCGTGGGAGCAAAGAGCTCCGCTGCTCCGAGGGAAAGTGCTTCCCAGTGGGAGTGGATGACCTGGATGAATCATTCTACACTCCGTTACCTACCTCTCTCAATTATTCCGCTTGTTTCCTGATACTGCTCTCACAGAAAACAAAGTCATCATTCCTATACAAGTTTCCCGCATCCAGCGGTAGACCAGGTTTAAGCCCAATACAGCCCAATATAAGACTAGCTCGATTCCTTTCCGATCGGAGCTACTTCGGTCTAGCAGGGATTCTTCATTTGCAAATATGCGTGCCATGTACTGTTCACAGGAGTTTACATGACTTTACAAAGTAGTCCGATATGAACAATATCCCTCCTCTTCACGCGGACATGCGCTGAATCTTATGCTAGCTTTTAAGATGGTCGAACCCGTAAATACAGATGCGTTGTCAAAATGGGTAGGAGAAATACCTGAAGATGTTGTAAAAGAAATGGAAACCATAGCGCCAATGTTGCGACGGCTTGGTTTTACGATCCAAATGCGAATCACACACCCAACTATGGTATGTTTTCGTTGCATTGACCAGCTGTTGAGCTAGTGCTCTGGCTGTTGTGGTCGAACTGTACCATTTTGAAGGGACCCCCGACGAATTTGTGGCGAAGAAAACTGAAGAACTATATAAGGATTTTGAAACATGGTACAAAAGGCAGATATGGTGGTGAATGATCCGAGATGGTCGATTCACTAAAGTATAAGTAGCTTGGTCTAATTGGTGGGCTGTTTTCAAAGCAGGGGTGAAAAACCTGTTGATTTGTGTTGTTTTTTTTAATAAACAATGTGTATTTGTCCGTCTTAGTACTTAGGACGAGCGCAGCATTGAAAAAGATCACACTGGCTTTTTGAGTACGGGTTAATCTCAGAAGATGAGATAGGTCCACCACCGTGGTTTTAGTTGTAGGATTTAGGCTGCATTCATATTTCGCGGCAGCGTCACCAGCGATCAGCATGGGGGGGGGGGGGGGGGGGGGGGGGGGGGGGGGCGCGTTTCGAGCGTCCACCAGCGTCAGCTCTAAATGAGGTGTAATTCTAGGATCCTATATAGTAGAACGGGTCAGCATGAAGTGTAGCTAGATCGATATAGCTAACGGCAGCCATCTCCCAGTGTCCACCCAGCGTCAGCCAGCGACCGTCAGCGTCTCGATGGATAGGGAAGTATGAATATCGATGAGCATCTAGCAGCGGCCATCGAGCGCAACGAATACGGCATTGTGTAGTAGTACGGTGCGGTAGCACACGCCACAATTTGGCGTCCTCACGCAACGCCTAATCGAGATGTCTCCTCCCTGTTACTTCCCCACACTCTCTACTCCTGGTATGTGGCAGACGCTGCCTCAAAGTATGAACGCAGCCTTACGTTTGTCTACGAAGCGCCTTCAACTGCAGCGGTACCGGCATATAATGGTACTCCTAAGAAAAGCAGGGATTCCCAAACTTTTAAGGCAGGAAAACGCTAGAAACGTTTTCCTAACGTAATTTCGATCTTGCTAGGTTATACATTTTCTCGTTCGCAATATCCTTTCTCAAGAGATATAGGTCCATTGTCCTTTGAAAGACTCCCTATGTACAGCAATCTTACTTGCAAACATTTCGGTTCTCGTTAAGTTCAAGGGACTTGTACAATTTGTTTTGGCATTGCAGTCGTAGGAAATCACATGGGGAACGTACAGCAAGCCTCTACGTGAGAAATTTGAACCGATGTTTCCTCTATCTTCCCGCTTGCTTGGGTTTTCTCCATCTCATTTCGTGGAGTAGCATTTGGTGCCCCTAAGAAGCCGAACCGTGCTAAAAATGGTTCTCGGTCTCCACCCGCGCGATAAGCATGGACCATGCCTTTCAACTTTAGAATGTTGATAAACAACAGCAGCAACAGAAACGAACATTTCATATTGGTGACCACTGAAGAACTCGTTAGACGAAATGAAATAGGAGAACTGTGTATTGTTCCCCTGGTTCTTGTTATGCCGTTCTTCTGTAAACTAATTAGATCACTATTCACCTTTTCTTGCCCCGTTTTTCGAAATTTGGGTCAAATATCGAAAAACGGGGCAAGAAAAGGTGAACATTCTGACGGAATGAATGAGAGACCTCAATAAAAAAATATCCCGGGGATGGATTTGGTTATCGCATTGTTCGTAGGGTACTTTGAATCTCTGAACACTAATGTCACAATCGTTTCATGCAAAAGCGGCTGATAGGGCAGCACGAAAACTGGCCTCTGCCGTGGATTTCGCTGCAAGCGTAGGTGATAGTTTTGCTTCGGAGGTCAAATTACCTCGAAAGGACAAAGGTCCGGACAAATTGACCGTGGCCCGGAAATATCGTACGGTAATGCGCGGCAAGCGTGCACCAGTCTGTCCATTGGAGCTGCAGAACTCATATGAATTCTAGCGGAGACAAGACTTCATGATGGATGATAAGGGATTTTCCCGTCCCTCTAACGCTGAACTTCAAGCGGTCAGGCAGGCTTTTGTCGGTCGCGGCGTCGCTCGCCCCGTCCAGGCCCACCAGCGCGGGCACATCACGATTGTCTTCTCATGTACCCAGAACTTTCGGTCAGAATGTAGCCTAACCTTGGGAAAAATAGGATCCACCTAACTTTTCTATAATCACCGACTCCTTTTACGGTTATTACAAACCTCTTCTGATAAACAGTGCAAGCTTCGAGTGAAAAAGTTCGACTCCAAGGTTGTTAGATAATTTATTAACGGAACAACTGTTACATATTCTCTCAACAGAATGAACACAACAAAAGCAGTAAAACGATGCTATACATGCTTTACAGAAACAACAAAAACCACCATTCAATAAAATGTGCTCCAGATGTGTAAAATGAATTCTCGTCACCAAATAATTGGCACCGTTGAGTTACCCCGCAGCACATTCGCTGCCTATTGAAAAGAAAAAAAGAAAAGAAAGAAGTCAGAAACAGAACAAGGAATACGAAATAAAAGAAAGTCAATAGTTCCGTTTAAGAAATCTCCACCTCTCCTCACGCACTTCCTTCAAGCTGAGGATTTCCAGTCT